AAACACCTTCTAATTATTTAGCAACTTTTTGAACCGAAAGGAGAAGAAGTCGTAGATCTAGGCTCGCATGAGGTAGATTATTCTGTAACTGAATAATCTATGTGTTTTAGATTAAAATATGTGCTTGTCGATGACCCGTCCCTTGTTACGAAAAGTTATTGGGATTGGATAATTGGCATGTATTGTATGCTGGAAAGATAATGTAATATCATATCATATAAGCCATATTATAATCAAATACCTCTCCAAGTCCCAACCATCTCTAATCATTTTCCACACGAGCTCAACGAAACATAGTTTTCAACAAAAGGGAATACCTTGCCCACCCTATGAGTACAGACATTCGATAGGTTCATCACCCTATTCATTGCACAATCTTGGACCATCAGATCACCCCCCAACCGTGACTCTAGATAAAACAACTTATCATTCTCAAAGAGGCCCATAAAACTACGCATCTTATCGACGCAAAATGTGGACTCTAGGGCCCACGACCAACTAGCGTCGTCCCACACCCAAAGTTCTAAACAATCATAATTCAGGTCGTCTTCCATGAAACCAGGATTCGAAGCCAAAAAACCGAGTGAGCCCCGATATTCAACGAGCCTCATATCACAACAGTCATAATCATGAGTCAACTTATCACTCGGGGGCATAGGAATATAATATCTATCAAAGTCGTCCGTAGCAAAGTTAAAAGACCGGATAGAATTGGCGTCTTTGTGAATAAAGTATTCGTCGATATCTAACCTGTAATAAGTGCCATTTGCGTGAACTTTCACGAATGGATGACCGTACGGATCAAAGCAAAAAGGACTAAGGAGCACTTGTTTCCATGAGTTAGTCTTGAGAGAATATAATTCGGCCACGGGAAGGGATCGATCACAACTTTCCAGAAATCTTATCACCTTGTAGTCGTTAGATGTGGAATCATACCCGAAACCAAAATGATTGCAAATTTTCTTCTTACAGTCCTTATAACTGTTATTTCACATGATAGAACATAAATGTTTTTAAAGAAATGAAATAATTCCAAATTTTTGTTAAAAAAAAAAAAAACAATACAAGAAATGAAAAATCAAACTAAAAAGAATTGTCCAATCACAATCAAATACAAATTTATAGTGGATCACGTTAAGTTATATTGAACTTAGCTTTACACTTAAAAAACATACGTTCTATAACATTAGAGTGGACTACTACCAAAGCTTTGATTGAGGAGCCTTAGGCTCGCTTTGTTATATAGCATTTCCATCAAAGAAACCCTTTTGAATAGTAAGTACGTACCTTGGGTCCAAGGTTGCGGGAGATGGAGGAAGGATTTTGATTTCGTTGGTTGTCGGATTCCAAAGAGCCTCCTGGGGAATAATGTCGGCATCTTTACCCCAAATGTTATCATACAAAAGTAAAATCAAACCATTGCAAGAATCGTACGGATGAAAGACACGGTCAGGAAAGGGATTATCGATCTTAGTTAATATTGTGGGCTCCAAATTCTCTTTGTCGATTGAAACTAGCACATAATCCAAGTCTTGTATCCTTGGGTGCTGCTCCACAATAATAAACTTGCTCCTCTTTGGATCTTGAAACAAACTTGTATGCAACCAATTGTCATTATTAGTATTAATAGAGAAAGATTTACACAAATTTAACTTACTCTTATTCTTCCAACTGATGGGAAAAGATGAAAGTTTGATTAACAGGTTTGGGTTCAGATTCAGCGACGTCATCTCGCCAGACCAGGAAGGAACACTCCGCCGGACCACAGGAACTAACCTAAATCTTATATAAA